CAAGCCCAAGCTCCATGCACATCGCGCTAAATCGAATTTGCCAGGTAGAGTAGTTGTTGAGATCCAGCGACTCATCAAGCTTGTCCTTAACCATTGTTGATGAGGGATAGAAATAACAATTGGGCGATAACTGTCGGCGCTAAGCGGGGCTCATAACCTATTGAAGAATTGGCGACGGTGACAGCTAACGCTAATTGTTATTCCGGAAGGATTGCCGGTGGCGAAGATATTTAGCACGATAAACTGTTACAAGTAATGTAAAGAGTATTGTTAGCGTTCGGCAGGACTTGAGGAGATTCCTGGTAGGAATACCGATCGTTGTGAGATAAACTAATAGGCGCAGTCACCGCCCTAAATACCGGCGCTAGCGGAAAACTCGTACATTCCGCGATCTAACTGCACGTACATTCCGCGATCTCACTGCGCCGTCCAGACGGTGCCCTAATGTCTATCACTTAGCTACCGGATATGCATCGGTAGCCCCATAAGGTTCTGGGGTAAGATTTCCCCATTAGTCAGGCGCAGACCCGGGGTCAAATCCCCTGGTCGACAACCACACGAGTTGGGAGAGGACCGTTTCCTCAACAGCTTGGCTGGTGTAGGGGTTGTTTCGCACCCGCCACCACTTGTCCATGACACACTCCTCCCGCAACAGAGCACCGTCCTCGCCAAATTCCAAAAACTGCCCAGCGGCCACGACTGCAGCCGCACTGTGCAAGTCGGCGGGGTTGACGTTAAACATGAGGAGTGGCAGCCCGGTTGCAGCGGCTACACCATGTAGATTGGCGTGTGTGTTGCGGTAATAGGCATCTGTCATGTCGATGCGTGCGACCGTTCACCGAAGAGAGGTGACGAGGGCATGCACGAGAGGTGACATGTCTTGAAGCAGGCGGCGGTGATCCGGGTGCATCTTCGGCAATGCCAGGATGTCCACCATCGCTTTGACAGCCTCTCGCGGGATGGTGCCCACCGTGTCGATGTCCTGCTGGCAGCTCTTCACTGTAACCCACGTCTGCACTTTTGCGTCCTCCATGTTGAGCACGTCCACCATGCGGGCGAGCATGAGGAGGTTGCCGCTGAGCTGCCGCCGTGGCACACGTGTGGACACATGCTGGAAGAAGATCCGGTTGCTCATACCCAGGGGACGGAGGCCGCCCTCGGTGTACGGAAATGCGGTGGGGAAGTTGCTGGCAAGCATGTCTTCCCGGGAGTAGTCCAGGATCTGCAGCAGGGCGGAGGCATAGAGTCGGGAGCATGCATTGGGCAGGTCGATTGTGATATGCTGTTAAGACCAGCAAAGCGCCGGACCCCCGTTGGGTCCTATTACTGTGGCTACCATTCACTGGTATATGAGTGTCGGTCATTTCCAACATATGCATATCGGTGAGGAGGCACAAGCCTTATGCGGGTGTGTCACACACGAGAGTAGCAGCGCATCAGGGAATACACTTCACCCACCCATTACCAGCTTACCAGACGCAAAGACCAGCCGGCGCTCCGCTGTCAGCTCACGGTGTAGCTCCACTGGGTTTCGTGCATCGTCACCTGATCCCTGCACAGGTGTGTCAGGGTTAACAGGCACCAGACCTTCGAGCTCCTCGAGACCAGCATCCTCCGGTGTGTTGTCCACTTGAGCAGACGGGGCAGCAGTGACGGCGGCGACGAGAGCCTCCAGCCTGGGGTCCTGCATGATGGACGGGTGCTGGCGTATGGCTGCGGCCCCCGTGCGGTCATGGAAGAAGGTGTTGGTGGGGAGCGTGGCGACGTTGGGATCTGTCGGAGCGACAGTGGAGCGGATGATGGACTTGTTAAGAATATGAAGGAGGCAAGGAGACTGGTTGCGATGTAAGTATTGCAATCGGTAGGTGAGTGGTAAACGGCTGGAAGACTTTAGGAAATTCCTACTAAGGAATACCGATCCATACAAAGATGAGATACGAAGACTAGCACAACTCGTCTCTTATATACCAGTACAAATGGAAGTATCGTACAGATGTCCACCATCCCTGGACCTGAGGTCACGTCCGAGATACGCGGCCGAGAGACCCGAGGCAAGTCTAGGCACGGCCGAGGCAAGGTCGAGGCACGTCCGAGGCATCGTCTATCACGGCGGAATCATCGCCTAACTACCAACTATCTACGTTGGGATAGGACCACCCTTCAACACGCCCCCTCGGGACATATCCCAACTCACAGTAGCACATTTGCTCCGCCAATGGGCACTTCACACAACGCCCATAGCTTCTCTGCACCGTTTGAACTTCACTTCTCCCAGTGCCTTCGTGAGCGCATCCACTACCATCCACTCTGTAGGGCAGTACTCCAACTGCACCTCCCCACTATTCACCCTCTCACGCACTATGTGGTGCTGCACGTCGATGTGCTTCGACCGAGCAGACGTAATCGGATTATTTCCCAAGCTAAGTGCCCCCTGGGAGTCTATCTGGATTTTCACCGCGCTCTCAGGCAAGCCCAAATCGACCATCAGCTTGCGAAGCCACAAAGCTTCACGAACAGCTGCCGCTGTAGCTTGGTACTCAGCCTCCACCGACGAAGCCGCCACAGTACGTTGAAGTTGGCTGCTCCAACTAATCGCAGCCCCATTAAGAGTGAATATGTAACCGGACGTAGAACACCGCGTAACTGGGTCTCCTGCCCAGTCCGAATCACTGTACCCGGACATTGCAACACTGCCAACACCCCCAAAACGCAATCCTAGTTCGCGAGTACCCGCCAGGTAACGCAGAACGCCAGTGGCCAAGTTCATGGCAGTCTTCGTAGGTGTGGCCATATGCCGGGACAAAACGCTCAAGGCATACGAAATGTCAGGCCGCGTGTTCGTCGCCAGATAGTTCAATCCTCCCACCAAAGCCCTATACTCCGTGGGATTGCCCAGCAGCTCCTCTCCGTCCCCCTTAGGAGTATACCTAAAGCCCGGAGGCAAAGGGGTAGACCTCGGCTTGGCGTCAACCATCCTATGACGCTCTAACAGCTGCTCAATATACCTATGCTGCGACAACACTATCTCACCCGACTTCTCCCTCCTAATTTCCATGCCCAAAAACACCTTCGCTTCTCCAAGGTCACGCACCTTGAAGACCTTCGCAATTGCGGCTTTAATTGCCCGGACCATTTCCGGGTCTTCTGACGCAACAATGGTGTCATCTACGTGCACCAAAGCAATAACCACCCCACGCTCGTCCGTCTTAACGAACATCGCCGGATCAGACTTTGAAGGATAAAGACCCAGCTTGGCGAACTCTGCTGATAGTTTTTCATACCAGCAACGGGGTGCCTGCTTCAAACCGTAAATAGACCTCTCCAGCTTGCACGCAAGCGACCGGTCACTGGATTCTGTTGAGGAAACGGTCCTCTCCCAACTCGTGTGGTTGTCGACCAGGGGATTTGACCCCGGGTCTGCGCCTGACTAATGGGGAAGACTTACCCCAGAACCTTATGGGTTACCGATGCATATCCGGTAGCTAAGTGATAGACACTAGACGCGGGCTGCTTCGCCCGCGAGGGGGCTGTAGTCCCCCGCTGAATTCCGCGCTGCACGGTGCTGAATTCCGCGCTGCACGGTGCTGTCGTAAGCGCATACGGCATAGCATAGCATAGCACAGCGTGTACGGCATAGCACAGCATAGCATAGCTTGTACGGCATACCATAGCATATCGTGTACGGCATAGTGTAGCACGTATGGCATAGCATAGCACAGCATAGCATAGCGCGTACGGCATAGCACAGCATAGCATAGCTCGTACGGCATAGCATAGCATATCGCGTACGGCATAGCGTAGCACGTACGGCATAGCGTGTACGGCGCGTACGGCGCGTACGGCGCGGTCAGGCTACACGCGGTCATGCTGTAAGTTTTAATGCGGAGAGGTCCACGCGCAAAGTAGAATACGCGTACGGCATAGCGCGTATGGCGTACGGCGTATGGCGCGTACGGCATAGCATGTACGGTGTACGGCGTATGGCGCGTACGGCGTATGGCGCGTACGGCGTATGGCGTGTACGGCACAGCGCGTACGGCTCGTATGGCTTAGCGTGTACGGTATAGCATAGCTTGTACGGCATAGCATAGCGTGTACGGCATAGCATAGCGCGTACGGCACAGCATAGCATAGCGTGTACGGCATAGCATAGCGCCTACGGCATAGCATAGCATAACAAAGCGTAGCGCAGCATAGCATAGCGTAGTGTAGCATAGCATAGCATAGCGCGTACGGCATAGCAGAGCGCGTACGGCACAGCATAGCATAGCGTGTACGGCATAGCATAGCGCCTACGGCATAGCATAGCATAACATAGCGTAGTGCAGCATAGCATAGCATAGCGTAGCGTAGCATAGCATAGCATAGCGCGTACAGTGCACGCGTCAGCATCCATAATGTGCAGGATATACAACGCAACACATGTGCAGGATATACAACGACGGTGTGCGTGTACGGTACGCGCGGTGCAGTACGGTGCCGTACGGTGCGGTGCGGCGCAGTGCAGTGCGGTGCAGTGCGGCACGTTGCAGTCATGGTCCCGAACGAAAAAAACGTGCAGGCACCGGGATCAAGCCGGGGACTGGGGCTCCCACACGGTGATGGAGCTAGCGCGCGCAACGAAGCGGTCCGCGCCGATGCTCAGGGGCGCGTTGCGCGACACCAGCTGCAGTGCAGTGCGGTATGGTGCGGTGCGCGCTCCCGAACAAAAAAAAGGAAAAACCACGCGGGCGCCGGGATCGAGCCGGCGATCGCGGCTCCCACACGGTGACGGAGCTAGCACGATGACATCGCACGACAAAGCACGACGAGCCCAGGCATGACGCGCATGGTGCGGTGTGCGGCCCCAAACATAATACAAAAACGCGGTACACGACCCAGCGAACGCGACCGACCGCGCAAACCGTCCCGCGGGTCAGGTTGTGTTGCGCATCGCACTTCGGTGCGCGTTGCGTTTCTATTCCTTGCTATTCTTGCTATAGCATAGTTTCTACTCACTGCTATTCGTCGTTTCTATTCGTTGCTACTGCTTTGCAACATGGACTGACCTTGTATCGTGTAGGACGTGCAGACGAGGATGGCGATGAATAGCCATCGCTGGCGATGAACAACCGTTGATGTGCCGAGTTGTTGTCGTCTGGCGAAAATCGGTTAGCGAGCCGATGCACGTAAAGAGGCCAGCTTCGCGAAATACCGCACAGCTTATGTTGGCGGCGCGACTAGTTTACAACCGCCAGCTTTAAAGCAACCGCTCAGCCGCGGTACCGTATACGAAAATAAGTAAACTGGATGCGTATATATGCGGTGCAATTATATTGTAGCGAGCCAACATCCGCGAACAAAACAGTTTCACAAAATGCCGTACAGCCTACACGGACAACGTTGGACAAGCACTGCACACTTCAGTGCGCGTCAAATTGCGTGGTTCAGTGCACGTTTAAATTGCGCGTTGAATTGCACGTTTAATTGCATGGTGTGGTGGGTTGCACGTTAAATGGCTAAGATCACAAAGCATAGCACGTAAATTTGCACACGGTGCACAAAGTTGAACACGCAGTCAGAAGTCGACATGCAAAGTTTGAGGTGCGCACAAAGGAAAGTCAAACACGCTCAGTTAAACGTGCAAACTTGAGCGTTCAACCTTGCGCGCTGAGCCGTGTCGCGCGAGTCGGCGCATGTCAAATTGCGCAGTGCGGTGCGGCCAATGTTTATCGATTTGCGCGTTCAATCGTGGTGCGGTGCGGTGCGGTGCAGTGCGGTGCGGCGCGGTGCACGGTCCCAAATGAAAAAAACAAAATCGCGACATGCGCCGGGATCGAGCCTGCGACCACGGTTACCATTCGACGTTGGACTAGACCACAAGCGGTACGCCCTGATGCTTTGGGGCGCATTGCGCAGGTCCAGGTGTGGTGCGGTGCGATGCACTGCCCGCGCAGTGCGGCGCGGTGCGGTGCAACGCGGTGCGGTGCGGCGCGGCGTGGACACCGAAGCGGTGCACGGCGATGTTCGGGGGCGCATTGCGCGGGCCCAGGCGTGGAGCGGTGCAGTCCGGGACGACGCGGTGCAGTGCACAGTCCAGAACGAAAAGAAAAGAACAATAAACGATGACGACGCGAAAAACGAACCACGCGACGACGAAGGCAGCACTCCCGAACGAAAAATAGAAGAAAGCGGGCGCCGGGCGACGAAGCTAGCGATCCGTAACGTAAAAAAGGATAACAACGCGCCGATGCCCGGATCGAACCGGCGACCGCGGCACCCACTCGGCATTGGAGCTAGTGCACGGAGCGGTGCACGCTGATGCTCGGGGGCGCATTGCGCGCCCACAGGTGTGGTGCGGTGCGGTGCAATCCGGTGCGGTGCGGTGCGCGCTCCCGAACGAAAAAACGAAAAAACGCGACGACGACGGGGCGCGAACCGGCGACCGCGGCTCCCACGCGGCGGCGGAGCTAGCCTAAAAGGCGCGGCTCCGAAACCGCGAACGACACGGATAAAAACGGCAACTTTCCAGAAATTCCGAACGGACTAGAGCGCGCTGTTCGCGCGAGTGGGCCGTAGCTCCTGGTGGCTGCTGGCTGATGGCTGATTCCTGCATTGCGCGGACCAGTATATGTGTCGTGCTTGTAAGGGCCGCTTGCTACTTGCTGCGGAGCTATGGCCCACTTGCGCGAACAGCGCGCTTTAGCTTCACACTTACACACAAGAGATTGCGGAGTCTAGCACGCGGATCTATCCTGTGAAGCGCTCACGCGGGAGTCGAACCCGCAGGGGGCTCCACACATTGGTGGGCGGCTCCCCATTCCTGCCCGTAGGGAGCGAGCGTGTCGTCCGGAGTGTCCCCCTTACTCCGGACGCTGTCATTTAACGCCGTACAGTGGCGGGTCGCGGTTTCAACTCAACTCAACTCAACTCAACTCAACTAGGCCTGGACCGGGCCGGTCCAGCGCGCTTCCAGCTGTCGCGCATGCTGGAACTCGGCTGTATAGCGCTGCTCCGTCTCGCGCGCTGCCTGCTTCAGCAGGCGCAGGTTGGCGGCCAGGTCCGGCTCAAGGTTAGTCGCGCTGAGGAACTGCTTGATTATCCTCTTGCGCTCATGCGGTGTAGTGTAGAGCGGCCGGAGCAGACGGACGTGGTCCAGCGTCTTGAAGCGGGTCAGCAGCACATACAGGGTGGCGTGCTTGATGCCGTTGGGTGGGACAGCGAGATCCACCAGCCAGCACTCGTCTTTGAAGCTGCGGCCTTGCACGAAGTAATCGGTGACCGCCTGGCGGTCGCCGAGCGGCACGTTGAGGCGCCGGATCTGCTTTGTGATGGTGCCATACCCAGCGGCAGGCATCTCCACCTCGGCAATGCAAGACGCCCGGGGTGACAGGATGAAGGCACCACCCCTGCTGGCGTAGTCTCCAAGGCCCTGCAGCACGGTGCCGGGGATGTGGCCGCTTATAGGCCGCACAATGACGGCCGCTGGAAGGTACTTGAGCCGGCGGTAGGGGCCACGGCCGTCATCGGCTGGCTCGCGGCCATCCTCAAGCAGGCCGCAGGCTTCCACCTCGTTGTTGTGGCTCGCCCCGGCATCGGCAGCTGTCGTATCAAGGAGGATGTATCGGGCGCCATGGTAGTACCACGTGTCGGCGGTGGTGTGGCCAAACTCGTGATCCTTTATCCGCATCACAACTGCTTTCTCCACGTGTGTCAGGGCCGGCTCCACAGCAGCACCGCGCTTCTGGACAGGGACGTGGTCCGCATTCCACACCACAAGGCGCTGATTCTTGCGCTGTGCCTCCAGCATGATGAGCCGGGTGTTGAGTGTGTGGCGTGGTTCGTTCCTCTGCAGCACGACGCGCGGCTCGAGGTGTGCCAGGTCGGCCAAGTCAACGATGGCGCGGCTGTTGAGGTCGTCGACCATCTCGCCTATGCGCTGCTCGGTGGCTGGCTCACCGCCGAACATAGAGGCGTACTCTGTCAGGCGACGACCAGAGGGGCTGTTGTCCTGGCGCTGCTGCTTCTCCAGCAAGAAGACCATCTTAGCCAGGGATCGGTAAACCCGGAAGCCCTCAAGTATGCAGCTCTGAGTCTGCGGGACGGCCCGGGGCCGGCGTGCTGCTGCTTCAGGTTGCTGCTGACCGCCTTGAGATCCAGCGGCGGCCTCATTAGGATCACCCTCGTTGTCCTCCTCTCCGTGCAGAGGTTGCGCGGTTGGGACAGAGGGCGAGAACTGAGGGTTGCATTCCACAGCAGCGGCGTACCGGTAGAGGGGCGGACCACCTGGCTTCGGGTGCTGGAACTCGTCGCCCGTGTTGGCGCTGGGACGGCCGCTGAAGATGGTGGCGGCGGGGTGATCGCCGGCGAGATGCGGTGGCGGTAACAGGTGACGAGTGCAGGACTGGTTGCACGCACCCAGGTGGTCCAGGCTGTTCATGCCAATCTCGTCAATGATGAGTGCACCATCGCCGACATTACGATGCACCTGTAGGCTGGCTGTGCTGCCTTTCCTGACGCTGTCCGCTCGGTTGCTGCCAGCAGATAGGGCGAACATGGCGTGGGTAGAGAGGCTGCGATGTACCGGTGTGTTGAAGGCAGTTGCAGCAGCCCATGAGTAGGCGCAGGTGGCCGCCCAGTGCGGGCAGCCATGCTGGAAGGTGTACCACAGGAGTGCTTGTATGAACTGGCTCTTTCCGGTACCGGGCTTGCCCTCCACAAGCATCTGCGGCGGATCGCCAGGGTTGGGCTCATCGCGATGATCGAAGTACCGAGCCATGAGCATGAAGGGCACGGCCTGGTGGGGGGCAAGCGTGAACAGCTCGATGGTGTCGTCGATGCTGGGCGGCTGGGGGAGGTGCACATAGATGGGCATGCGAGCCTGTTCAGTCCGCTCAGGAGTGCCAGGCATGCGCACGATGGCGACCAGGGGTCCGCTGGTGGGGCGGTGCAGCTCGACACGAGGGGTGTCCATCTCAGGTGTGGCCGTCAGTCCCGTGTGGGCGCCCCCATCTGCCTCAACAGTGCTGGCTGCTGCTGCAACGAGATACCGCTTCAGACGCTTGGTCGCTTCAGTCAGGAGGGGCAGGTCCGCTGGCGTGATCCGACGGCTGAAACGATCGCTGCGTGCACCATGGCCGTCCACTAGGACCGGGGCTCGGCAGCGCCGTGCTGCATCATAGGCATATGCGCCAGCAGCGTTGGTGCAGTCAAACAGGTCCGTAAGAGCGACGGTGGCGAGGTCGGTGCCAGCCGTCGGATACTCCTGACCTGGGATGTACACGAAGTGCTCCAGCTGGTCCTCGGCGGGCGGCTGTGTTTCAGGATCAGGCCTGAGATGCCCGCGGATGCCGTCATTGGCATCTCCATCCGAAGTGCTCGTGCTGTCACCTTCAGGCAGCGCGGCTGCTGCCGCTGCCGCACGCTGCTGGCGGCGCCGCTGGTTGTACTCCGCCTGATGGCGGGATTTCCCAGCGTGGTCCTCTTCGATGTTGTCCAACAGCACCGATACATACGCCTGGTACGAGCGACCTGCCTCGGTAGTGCTCAGCTCTGCCCACCAGGTGTCGTAGGCTTCTTTTACAGTCAGCCCGGTGGGGATGGGCTGACCCCGGTGAGCCTTGAAAGTACCCAAGACAAACGCGTAGTACTGCGCCATGCCCGCAGGAGAGGTGCCAGGGCGGGGCCGGCGGGGAAGAGAACCTCCAAGCTGTACGTAGCGCGGCCGCGGCAGGCGGACATGGACATGTGTTCTGTAGAGCGGATGCGTGCCGTGGAAGGCCACCAGGCGGGGCAGCTCCGTGGCTGTCTGCGACGTTGGCTGGTCGAGCGTCGCTGCAGCTGTAGGAGGTGGCTCAGGAGGAGGGGCCGGGGCTGCAGTCAGCAGAGGCACAGGGGCAGGCACAGGGGCGGTTATGGGTGTGGCTGGGGTAGTGCGCTTACGGCGTCGAACTGCCGGGATCTGCAGGCCCAATCGTTCTCGGTGCGGGTGCTGAGCTGGCGGCACACGTCGGACCTCATAGTTGGAGGAGATGTTGTACACGCTGCAATCCAGGCCGCTGAGTTCTTCCCCCCGCAGCATGTAGCTCTGCACGGCGTTGGTCACTGTGTAGCCCTCCTGTTCCTCAGCCTCCACCAATACCGCCGCTGTGGTCGCCGCCTCAGGAGATTGCTCGGCGCCCGCAGATAGCGCTGTGAACGCGTCTACCTGCAGGTATGCGCACTCGAACATTGCCTCAAAGGTGGAATGACCGTCCAGCTTCATGGTGACAAGCGCCATACCAGCCGTAATGGAAGCGGTCATGCGATGCACGGTGGCACACATGTTGCCAAATGCAGTGGGCCCACTGGCACCCGGATCCGCCGTCCTTCCAGCTAGCAGGAAATCCTGCACTCGGGTAAGAGTGTTGCACGTCAGCTGCGCCTGGCTGTCGTTGATGCTCTTGCCAGTGTGGGCGCTGACCAGAAAAGCCGTACGGGAAGGACTGGGGGAAGCAGAGGGTGAGGATGGCGGGATGACGGTCATCCAGCACGTGGCTGTCACGGCCACCAGCCGCAAACACAAGCCGTGCACGGCCAGTCAGAAGGTCCTCCACTCGGCCTGGGAAGCGGTCGATTTCACTGCCATCATCGCCAACATTCGACGGCTGTGGCAGGATCAGCTCCAGCTCGTCCAGAGTGGCAGCTGCCGGATCGACTGCATAAGCAGACAACAGATGCGCAAGAGCTGGGTTAGGATGCACGATCTGGCAGGCCATGCAATGTGTTAGCATGGCGCATCAACGGCGGTAAATGCAGCACACAGTGTGTACATATGCTGGACAGAAGCGAAGTCAAGACGCCCCAAACACACCACAAACGAGCGAAGTCACGTGTAGCCCTATGGTCAGCCAAGTGAGAGAATGCACGCACCTGGTGCACCTTCAACTGGCTGGTCGGCAGGTCCTCGTAGAATGGCGGTGAATGGCCCCGGCCCAGGGTCCTGTCCTGCACTCAAGAACACACACAGAGGAGCAGTAGAATACATAATTAGCGGGACAGGCAAGGGTGCTGCGAGAGTCCAGCCTATACAGCGGGTCAGGCTGTGCATCAAGATCCGTTAGCACAAGAGGAGCGCCCTCTTGATGCACGGGGCAGCGGCGGTAGCGGCTGTCCGGTGCAGAAAGCGCAGTAGGAGGGCAACACGAAAACAGAGGGCACACAACAGCTCGCATGAAAAACAGTAACAAAATAACACACCTGCATCCGGGGTTGGATCCGCCAGCGTAGGTTGCACGGGTCCTGCAGTATCCACGTCAGGTGCCGCAGCTGCATCGGCAAGATTGCCATCATGAACAGCCGCTTCCACCACGTCCTGGAACTGCCGCACACCTGCCGCACCCGTGCGGTCGTGCAGGAAGGTGGTGCGGAGGACGTTCGCCACCTCCGGGTCCGTCGGTGCAAGGGCGGCATGCAAGATTTCGTCCGGCACGCCTGCAGCACAGCCCATGCGCTCGTACTCCTGCAGAGCATCCTCGTCGATAGCCAGCTCCTCCTCGTCGTTGCGCTGCAAGAAACGGACCCAGGCGACGATGACCTGTCCTCGCACCTGTAGACCTGGCGCCTTTCGCACGCGTTCCAGCAGCTCCGCCCGGCTGCGAACCTGGTCGACACAGACAACCGTGATAGCGCCGGCCAGGTCGGAGGCCCGCGCCGGCAGCTGGCCTCGCAGCATATTCGGGTCAGGATTAATGACCCCAATGCCGTGGGTCTTTACAGCACGCGGGAAGACGTCCGGCGGCCGGTCTGTCAGGTACATGATTAGCAACTGCTGGATGATGCGGCCACGGCCCAGAAGCTGCCCCTCCAAAAAAGTGGGCGACGGCAGAGGGTCGCCCAGATGATTGACGCGCGGCACATCGCCAGGGTCCAGACGCGCCAGCGCAGCTTCAGGGACTCGTCGGGCTGTAGTAGAGGAGCAAACATGGGCAAGCAGAGTCGATACGACTAAGAAAGCAGTAGGAACGTAGGCAGCAAAGGTAGGAGAGACAAGTACACGCCGCAGATGAAGGGAGCAAGGGAACGCAGGCAGAAGTCATAGCTCATAGACACTAGGCAACCGGCTTGCGAGCACGAAGCAACCGACTCACCGCTAAGGGCTTTGTGGCAGAGGTTGCATACGAATATCTGCTCTGCAGCACCATCGCCAACCAGCATAGTGCGGTTGGGTAGGTCCGGCTCCAGACGCATGCAATAGGGCACCTCAACACTAGCGGGGTCGTCCAGACAGGCTCTGGGCAGCACCCGCGGGGGGCGCGGCTGTTGATCCGATGGAAGCTGATCAGGCGGCTGCTGCTCAGCCGTCGCCGACTCTGAACCGCTGGTTCCCGGAGCACCCCCATCCACCTCCAATGCTGCTTCCGCTGCATCATCCACCAGCCTGCCTGCTCCACTAGCACTGCCGCCGTCCTCATCCACAGCACCAGCCCGCTCAGCCCGGCTAACACGATACCGAGCAGGCAGGACTGGGTCAGGTGGCGGTGGTGCGTCTCCCTGAGCTGTACGCGCCATCCGCCGCCACACCAAAGTATGCCCCCAGCGCTGCACAGCGTCCGTACACATTACGTCTGCACGTAAAATGTCAACGTTGGGAATCTCCATCCAGTGCAGCACCGTCGATTGGTCCTCCGAGCACACTTCAGAGCACACAGCACAGACACGGGAGGGCATGCACCGGCGCAAGGCAGCAGCCATGGTCGATGCACACTGCAGCTGCACGGTGTACGGTACCTGCCTGTCAGGCGGTAACTGACCGCCAGGAAGGTCCTGCACGCGGCCCTCTGGAAGCGCCAAAAGAAACTCTGGCAAATCAATGGCGTCACCACGATGAAGGTCCGCGAATCGCAGAAGACGGTGCATGCGAGCTAACAGCGTATCCCTAGGGGCGGCCTGCTGATTCTGCTGCTGCACCTGCCGCGCTACTGCATGCTGGGCCATATTCCGCTGCTGCTGGAGTGCCCTCACCTCCGGGTCAGCACGTGCAGCTGCATGCTGTGCAGCGTCACGCAACTGCTGCTGTGCCCTCACCTCCAGGTCAGCACGTGCAGCTGCATGCTGTGCAGTGTCACGCAGCCGCTCCCGTGCCCTCACCTCCGGGTCAGCACGTGCAGCCGCGTGCCGTACAGCATCCTGCTGCCGCTGCCACACCCGCAAGTCAGGAGGGGCTGCCGCACGCTGTGCAGCTTTCTGCCGCCGCCATTTCTCCCGTACTTCTGCAGCAGAAGGGTCAGCATCCTGCTGCTGCTCCTCCAGCCGTGTGTCGACAGCAGCTGCTGCTCGCTGGCGCCCGCCCTCTCCGGAGCCCGTTGGAGTAGTTCGTGTGGCAGTCTGCTGCGCTGCAGCATGCTGCTGCTGCTGCTGCTGCTGCTGAGATACATGATCCGTGCACAAATCACTAAACGGGTGCGTTCTTCCACGACGGAAACCGTCTGCAAGCGAGCCAAGCCGAAGCCGCTTTGATGGAGGCGACTGATCCGCCATAGAGGCTGACCCGACGAGGTGAAAACGTGTAACAATTCAGGTGTTAAGAAAGACAGGTCGTGAGAACGTGAAAGGAGCAGAAACTCGAGGGAGAAAATAAAAAGCTCGAAAGTATATCGGCCCAGCGAAAAGTGAAAGTTGCAATAATCGTCAAAGCTTACAGGCAAAAAACGGTGTTGTCCAAAGTGCGTACGGCATTCCTTCCGACGCGGAAGTTGCAAACCGATACGGATGAACTGTGCGCTAAAGCGCGTCTTGAATTTCGTTGAATTGTGCGTTTAACTCTGTACTTCGGCGCGCGTTGAATTACGCGCTGAATTGCGTGTTGCACGGCGCTGCCTTAAGCGTGTACGGCATTCCTTCCGATCCATGGAAGCATGTTGAAGCACGCGTTGAATTGCGCGTTGAATTGCACGTCGAATCGCGCGTTGAATTACGCGTTGAATTGCACGCTTCGGTGTGCGCTAAATTGCGCACTTCGGCGCGCGGTGAATTGCGCGTTGAATTGCGTGGTTCGGTGCGCGTTGAATTGCGTGCATCCGTGCGCTCAACGTCCATCGTCGAACTATACGCATAAGAGCACAAAACATAAAAAACAAAAACATTGCGCATATATCGCGCAAAAGATCGCGCATTCCAATATCGCTGCATCTCGCATATCGCTGCATACCGCATATCGCATATATGCATATATGAAGCATAAAACAAAAAACATCGCGTGTGACTTTGAGTGTTAAACTTTGCGTGCTGAGCTGTGTGTAAAAGTTTGGTGTGCGTCGAAGTTTGGAGGTTGAGCTGTACGTGTCACGCTGAGGCGGAGGTTGAGCTTTACGTGTCGGGTTTCATGCGTGGAACCTGAGTAGCGCATGTCATGCTGAGGCGTTTGGTGTGTGTTGAAGTTTGGGCTATGGAACCCGAGTAGCGTGTGCAAAGTTCAGCAGCAGTCTGCGCGCTATTTCTGCACAGTGGAAATATGGCTGCATATAGCTGCACATTGCATATCGCATACATGCATATGTGCATATGAAGCATAGGAAGCAAAAACAAAAAAAAGTGCACCGGGGATCGAACCTGCGCGGGTGGACAGACAGACAGACGGATGGCGAATCGGCCTAAGGCCTCCGCTAGACTACTACGTAGTCGCTACGGCTACACTAGACGCGGGCTGTGTCGCCCGCGAGGGGGCCGTAGTCCCCCGGTAAATTCCGCGTTGCATGGTGCTGTCGTAAGCGTGTACAGCATAGCAAAGCATAGCGCGTACGGCATAGCACAGCATAGCATAGTTTGTACGGCATAGCATAGCACGTACGGCAGAATACGGCAAAGCACAGCATAGCAAAGTTCGTACGGCATAGCGTAGCACGTACGGCATAGCGTAGCACGTACGGCGTGTACAGCGCGGTCATGCTACACACGGTCATGTTGTAAGTTGTAATGCGGAGAGATGCACGCGCAAAGTAGAAGACGTGTACGGCATAGCGCGTACGGCGTACGGTGTATGGCGCGTATGGCATAGCGCGTACGGCGTACGGTGTATGGCGCGCACGGCATAGCGGTGTACGGCGTACGGCATGTACGGCGCCTGCGGCGCGTATGGCTTAGCGTGTACGGTATAGCATAGCGCGTACGGCATAGCATAGCGCGTACGGCATAGCAGAGCGTGTACGGCACACCATAGCAGAGCGTGTACGGCATAGCATAGCGCCTACAGCATAGCATAGCATAACAAAGCGTAGTGCAGCATAGCATAGTGTAGCGTAGGATAGCACTGCACCGCCACCACCGCCACCACCGCCGCCACCGCCACCACCGCCGCCACCACCGATCAAGCGTAGCATAGCGTAGCATGTACGGCGTGTACAGCGCGGTCATGCTACACACGGTCATGTTGTAAGTTTTAATGCGGAGAGATCCACACGCAAAGTAGAAGACGTGTACGGCATAGCGCGTACGGCGTACGGTGTATGGCGCGTACGGCATAGCGCGTACGGCGTACGGCGTATGGCGCGCACGGCATAGCGCGTACGGTGTACGGCGTACGGCATGTACGGCGTATGGCGTGTACGGCACAGCGCGTACGGTGCCTGCGGCGCGTATGGCTTAGCGTGTACGGTATATCATAGCGCGTACGGCATAGCATAGCGCGTACGGCATAGCAGAGCGTGTACGGCACACCATAGCATAGCGTGTACGGCATAGCATAGCGCCTACAGCATAGCATAGCATAACAAAGCGTAGTGTAGGATAGCACTGCACCGCCACCACCGCCACCACCGCCGCCACCGCCACCACCGCCACCGCCACCACCACCACCGCCACCACCGCCACCACCGCCACCACCGCTTTGCAACGTGGACTGACCTTGTATCGTGTAGGATGTGCAGACGAGGATGGCGATGAATAGCCATTGATGGTGATGAACAACCGTTACCGTTGATGTGCCGAGATGTTGTCTGGCGAAAATCGGTTAGCGAGCCGATGCAGCCAATGTTTTGCGATTTGCATGTTAAATCGCGGTGCGGTGCGGTGCGGTGCGCGGTCCCGAAAAAAAACAACAACAACTCATGCACCGGGATCGAGCCGGCGACCGCGGTTCCCAATCAGTGTCGGAGCTAGCGCACACCACAAGCGGTGAGCTTCGATGCTCCGGGGCGCATTGCGCGGGTCCAGGTGTGGAGCGGTGCAGTCCGGGACGACGCGGTGCGGTGCACGGTCCAGTCCAGAATGAAAAGAAAAGAACAATAAACGACGACGACGCGAAAAACGAACCACGCGACGATGAAGGCAGCGTTCCCGAACGAAAAATAGAAGAAAGCGGGCGCCGGGCGACGAAGCCAGCGAGCCGCAACATAAAAAAGGACAAAAAGACGAACCGGCGCCGGGATCAAACCAGCGACCGCGGCTCCCACTCGACATCGGAGCTAGCGCGCACGACGAAGCGGCGCACGGCCATGCTCCGGTAGATTTGCGCATTAAATCACGGTGCGGTGCGGTGCGGTGCGGTGCGGTACGGTGCGGTGCACGCTCCCGAACGAAAAAAATGGCAAAAATGCGCGGGCGCCGGGATCGAGCTGGCGACTGCGGCTCCCACACGGTGACAGAGTCAGCATGATGATATAGCAGGACGAAGCATAAGGAGGTGAGACATGGCGAGAGGGGTGCGCGGCCTCCATCCAAATAAAAAAAAAACGGTACACGACCCAGCGAACGCGACCGACCGCGCAAACCGTCCCGCGGGTCAGGTTGTGTTGCGCATCACACTTCGGTGCGCGTTGTGTTTCTATTCCTTGCTATTCTTGCTATCGTTTCTAGTCACTGCTATTCGTCGAATCTATTCATTGCTACTGCT